GCAAACAACCTGCAGACACGTGCTTTTCAATGTAGCAGAATATGGGTCTCTCCTTCCTAATATCACTGGCAATTTCATCTTTTCTCAGAGACATTACTAATGTTTTGCTTTCCCTGGTATCTTGCACTGGGAATATTCAAATATGAAGACAGCTATATAGTTCATTCAAATCAGGCAAATTTGTGATCTCTTGTATGGTATGAAGTTATTTCCATCATATACCAGGTACTGTGAAAATAAAAACTTTCATGGTTGTGAAGCATTCACACGCTGTGACAATGAAATCCACGGGCCACCAGCTAACTTTTGTGTTCAGATTTTAGAAGTGGTGACTGTACCTCATACCAGGTCATCCAAACTCACGGTCAAAGCCCTCTCCATAATTCTCACTTCTGTCTCACCCTACAGCAACATGAACCTTAGTGGTTTTAGCAGCTGAGATTTAAGACTATATGCTTCATCTGAAATGTAATTAAAGTTACTCCCTGGTTTTGTCCGGGGTTAATGTTTGAAACTGAAATTTCAAAGTGGTTAGAGCTGAACGAAGTGATCAGCTCACATTCACCCAAAAGCTATGAACAAATTGTAGTTGCAGGTTCTTTAATAAACATTTTACTTAATTCCCACCAAAATCTTGTTTTTCATACATATTGACAGACTACATCCCCATCACGCAGGAATTATTATTGTGTATAAGATAATGGCTGTTCTTAAAAATCAGACTGAGTTCACAGTAAATAATAGATTTTAGGTCAGTCATATTTAAGAAGTCTTTGTGAAAGTCATGGTTCCCCAACCACAAAAATTGTGCTCTTTGGTCTTGCATCCCGTTCTTCACATTCTTTTTCTAAAGGTAAGTCATTCGATATGATGTGCTTTAAAAGAAGGATTAAAAGCAATTTATAAATAGACAATTTTGCTTAAAGCTCAATGATAAAAGCTGTGTCATTTGTTAAAAACAAAACAAAAAATGTTTTATTAATGCAAGTAACAACTGTTGTCACCAGCCTCTCTGGAGCAGCTTCTCTTAATGAGTTGATTCCAGGTGTCTTGCTTTTTGGAGTAGTTTAAATAGTGTAAGTAAACATGAACTGCGCACTGCTGATATTTAGGCAGCTGCTTGAATGACTATTTGTATAATTCATTGTTTTTGTGGCAGTTGAGCCTCGATCTATGTCCCAGCTGAGTTGCAGCCTTTTAATGTAATGTTTTACATGCACAGTAAAAATGGCAGTACATTGCACTATCTGTTTGCTGTTTATTTCTGAACTAATTCTGCTTTTATTGCAACAGAAAGTTTGTCTCAGTGAAGAAACCACACAACTGAGCTCCAGCGTAGGGCAACAATTGGGAAGCCGTGCCTTCTAGCACCAGTCAACCGCTGGTCTTGTATGGACAGACCTGAAGCAGAGAAACTGCCACAGTCTTTAGACTTCAACAAGACTGCACATTGTTCCCCAGCTTCCAGCCATGCTCCCCTCCCACAAACTCCTTTCAGTTCTCTTTTTAGCAATTTTAGCTATTTTCTGTATTATCCATTACCCGTATTCTATATTGTCTCTGCATAAACTCTGGACTGCCTAGACCAAGTATAACCTTCCTTTCTGATGCTCTACTAAAACTGTGCATGCTCATGTGCCACAAGACACAGATGAAAAAGCTCTCTTGGGTACAGGGACAGGCAGCTACAGGAATAATGCAAAGGTGGAAAATTCCGATTGCTTTCCCAGGGTCTCTCCACTCCTCTCTGAAGTAGGACTGGTCAGGCAGCTGAGACCAAAGAACAATCTCAAATCTGCTGGTGTCACAGTGGATTACGAAAACTAAAGTGTACCAAACAACCGGACATCCATAAGCAGCTTGAAGCACCAAAATTACCACTTGTGGAGCACAGGTTACATAGAACAACATTTATTTACATGCAGCCCTCAGTCACAAAATGAGACTATTTCTTCACTGCCTTTCTACTTTAACTGATTAATTTATTACTGTTGGGTTCCTGGAGCTCTGCAGTTCAATGTACAGCAAAGTAACAGTGCCTTTTCAAAAGTCAGTAAAGTATTTGCAAGTGAAACAATAACTACTCTAAAACTGGTGTTTTAATGAACTGATTTTGCATTATTGTACATACAGCCAACTAGTGTCACCTAAAAGCATGAAAGCTAATCATTTCAAAGACTACTTGGTCATCCTAACTAATAGAAAGATCAGCTTGTTTATCAAGATGATGATAAAAGGTACTAATGGCTTTTTCAAGTGTGCTGATAAGAGAGTAGTTTAGATATATATTTAAAGATGCGTGACTGGGAAGAACAAGAATTATTTTTTTAAAAAAATTAGGAAAATATTTTTGCTTAAAATAGGCAATTTTCTATATCATTAGAAACGAGTACTCAATTGTTACTTTTGTTCATTACTAAAGGAGGACAGTATTTCCACACTGCAATTCAGAAAACTCACCCAAGACAAATGGTTTAAAACCAGTATCATGTAATTCATATTAAATTTGCACTAATTATAAAGAAAGCCTAATATTCAAGTATCTTAAAACCCAAGAAAAATGTTAAAATACTCTACTTGGGTTGCCTCCTGTGAACTACTGATTTCCGTGCTTGCTTTCTAAATAAACATCTACATTAACACAGATGTTCTTGTTACCTTCTTGTATTGCTACTGAATTGACAAGATCAAAGAGCACTGGATAAATAAATAATATTCCTAATATTAAGAATAATTAAGGAGTAATTAAGCACTACAATTACTGCAGAAAGTATATCACCCCCTTTTAGTTCACCTCCCAGACAAATGTTCCATTAGAAATGGTAACTCTTGTGGCTTTCTTTTAAGTGGTCTTTTAAACACTTTAATGGTTGTAGAATCTAATTGAAAAATAGAGGGGGTGGGAGTTTGGGTTATGTGTTTTTTTGTTGTTTTTTTTTTTTTAATCCTAAATGACCTAATCTGAATTGTTTGGAGGCCAAGATTTATTTTTTGGAGTGAAGTTTCTGTCATTTTTTGAAGTTCAAATTGCACTGAAGTTTTAATGCACTAGGTGGCATAATGATATTCACAATAGAACAAATGAAATGCTCCACCACCACCCAGGTACTTAGTTGGATAACAGAAGCCACCCTTTCTGCCAGATAAGAAGTCTTATGGTAATTTCTATAATTATAAGAACACTAATATTGTTAAACCTCTTTTTTGTTCTTTGCAAGAGTACTTCAAATTTTGAAAGAAAAAATCATTCTTATTTAAAGCAGACAATATAAAAAACCCTGGAGTTCTGGTCACATCGAAATACTGGTTATCTGATCCACACAGTTTTCATTCACTCACTCTGGTCAGAATATCTTGTTGCTTCTAAACAGGTGTCCAGGAAGAGTGGAAAGAGTACAAAGAGTAGGAAAACCTTCTTGTTTACTGTATTTCCTTAGCTCTATATACTGGCTGTCACCAGCTGATCGATTATTTACAGATGATATAGCATTGTCCTGGCCTGCGTTGTTTAACCTCCTTTAGCACTTGGGGAGACATTAAACTTCTGGCAGAGAAAATTTATTTCTTTTGATATATGAAATATACCATTCTCCCCCACCAGAAACCCAGGCGTGTACTGGACCCACATAACATCCAGATCCTCAGGAATACAATTTTAGGCAAAAGTTTCACAAAGTGATAACCAACTACTCGTGTCATGGACGTGTCTGTTCAGTCAGGTGAGTAGGATTAATGTCCAGCCCCTCGTGTTGCAGCCTTAGGCTTTGCCAAGATGTGATTTAAGAATTGAAGCCCCAGGTGAAAAATGAACTCCTGAAAGCAGTGGTAGGGATTTCAGTTAAAAATCCTTTAAACCCTACTCCAGTTGTGACTGTGACAAAGTTTACCCCGAGCAATTTTACTAGTGACCAACATTAAAGTAGATCAAAGACATATGAGCTTGCAAGTTATCACTTTTTCTAGGACTCCTGTTTCTTCAGCTTTGACATGGGCCACACTAAATGCATGTCGACACTGCCAGGAACTGGACCAGGTGAGTTGAATCAATCTTTTCCATTCCTAACTCTATTAATTCCACTACTACAGTGGACATAATGAAAGATCCTTTTAGACTGATTCTGGTGTCAGTCTGAACCAGCATTATGTCAAAAAAAATTTAAGTCATCTTCATTTACTGTAAGCTCAGAGACTTGCTTTTTGTTGCAGATGTTCTGTCACAGTCTGCTTGAATTCTGGGCAGTAAATTACAAGATACGTCAACGTAAAGTGGCAGTGAAATCATTTATCATTAACTTGAAGAGGCCATTATTCAGCTGTGGAAGATGACTGTTTTATGAAATACAAAGGATGAGATCATGATTTAGTGACCAGAGCATTCATTTTCCAAAACACAGCAGTATGGAGTGAGAGTGAGAAAGGAATGGAGCCTGAGCAGTTGATATAATTTTATCTGGATAATGTTTTGATGTTTGCCATCCCAGTTAAAATTGGCTTTTCTGAGACCTGCTGCTGATTAGCAGACACATTTTTCTATTGGCTAGCTGCTATATCTGTCCTGGTTCTTTCCGTGCAATAACAACTCTCACAATTCCTGCAGTGCCACAAGCAGGTGCCCTACCTGAGTGTCAGGAAAGGATTTAAAGAGGTGTAAAGCTTCCTATCTTTCAAGGGTTATTTGAGATACTGGAGTTTCTAAACAAACACTTCAGAGAGCTCGAAAGTTATAATTTCCCTAGTTTTTTGATGTAGCTACTAATGTGTTTACCTGTTTTATGAAAATGATCTCCACTCAGAAAGCTTATTTGTGCAGGCAACTGAATAGGGTAAAGTTATTGCTGGGGCTAATTTTGTAAAGACTGAAGACGTGTTCAACACAGAAACAGTGAGCATAGTATGGACCACAGTGTCAGATGCCACCAAGTTATCAATTCCTAGAAGAGACTAAAGACAGGACTTCTCTGGTTTATGACGCAGTCAGCAAAAACCACCGAAGTGCCTACCTTTTCCAGCTGGTGCATCCCCTCCTCTACACAGCAAATGGATGCCAGTGTTCTCAGTGTCTGGGGATAAAGGCACCTGAAACAATCCTGGCGACAGATCTTAAAGAGAGCAACTACACCTCCTTCCTGCAGGGGAAAAGCAAAAATCAGAAAAGCAGCACTGTTTCCCTAGATTTTAACTGAGATTGGGGTGGGAGGTAGATTCCTTTAGTAATGTATCCAGATTAGCTATCATCACAACACTAACAAAGAGGGTTAAATTCACAGAGCGAACTCAAGTTGATTAATGCTTATATACTGAGCAATGAAAAAGTAATATAGCCTCAGTGGGAGGTGTGCTTAAGTGATTGACTTTTAGCAATTATGAGCACAATTTAAATTAAACTTGACACTCCTGCGAAAGCTACAAAGACTTATCAATAGGCAGCAAGTGGAGTGGCATTTAATTGATAGTTCAACCATACCTTATTAGTTTAAAACAGATTTTTGTTAGCATATATTTCCTATTCCTCTACATTTCTGAGCTCCATACAATATTTACTTAATGATAAAACATGAAAGAGAAGGTCTTATGGTTGGAGAGCTACTGAAAATAAGATGGAAACAGGTATCAAGTTCTATACAGTTACAATCCATATCTTCATCCTCTAATACATAAAATTTGCATTCCTACTTTTTTTTTTATCTTTAATATGGCAACAAAGATTTGAGCATAGTTATAGATACCTTAAGTTATGTAAGAACAGACATATAATGAAGACGAAAGCATTTACAATATTAATGACAGATAAAAGATCTCAGACCAAAGTTATCAGATTACAGTAGTAAATTAAAAATAGTTCAAATCATGGACCAAGTATAATATTCACCCTTCTTTTTAAGCCTGTTTCAGTAATCTCTATATAAAAATATTTTTAGATTCACAGAAATAATCTTTCTCTCCTCAACCATTTGTATTATTTGAAAGCTCAACAGGTCATACTAATATAAAACCTCCAGGCGACAATTCAGACTTCACTCATTTTCAGAATTCCACATTTTTGTACTAGTTCTGCTGCAATAGCGTAGAGTACAATAGAGCAAACAAAGCTATCTCTTAAGGCTAACAAAAATATATATATCGATGTTTGAGAAAATTAAAATTAGACAAAATTAACACCTCAATATATTTCAAGCTAGAAATTTTATATTATGTCTTTGCACATGTGTATATATATATATATATAATTTCTGTGAGATCAGTGAAAACAGTAGGCTTACAGAGGTTTTCTAAAAGTAAAATTTATTTCTAGAATTGTAAGAAGTGCACATGTACCTGTATGAGTTATTTTATATCTAGAACTGCTATATATAGCCTACTGCAAAAAGACATTTCTGAGTCTTTAAAATAAAAAAGAGAAAGTACACTAAAAAGAAGTTTCGGTCATATTTTTCCTTCCACAAAAAGATATTGATATTTCACCTAAGCAGTAATTAAAGTATCTATGAAAAATACAGATAAAAGCTATTACAGTGTTGTCCCCAAACCTAAGGTAATTGGGTTTTGGCTGTTTTGTGATTTTTTTTTTTTTTTTTTTTTTTTTTTTTTTTTTTTAATTTTAGTATCGGTTTGAAAGTCCCCACAGTTCAGTGGAATCGGAGATTATCTGATTCTCAGCTTTAGTCATAATAGGCAGAAGTTTGTGGACAACACTAGTAAAGCTCAAGTGATATTGGCACATTTGCTTCAAGCTTTCTGTATGACAAATGGGTGCCCTGCTTTTGCTTCTGATGGACAGGAAGTGATTTATCACTGCATTTGTCAGGAGGAGATCTAAACTGTTTATTTTGTGCCCTGTGTGCCATTACCAAGCTGTAAAATATTGATCATGAGTAATGAACCTAGAGAGCTGCAAGTGAAATACGGAATAGGAAGGAAATACGGAGCCTGATACTACGGCTTGTCAAAAACACTCCCCTCACTGGCATCTCCGCATTCCTCAGGATTTATTCATCTTTTTTAAAGATTTGTCCCCTAAATCTTTTGCAATGATGACAAAACTACTCCATCTGACAGGGATATGCATAAATTGGTCAAACAGGTAAACAATACCATCCAGACAAAGCAACGTATCAGCACTGAGCTTTGCTTTCTTTGGAGATTAACGTGCACCTTTCCAAAAGTTCCTGATATGTCTAAGCATGCTCTTTTTTTTAATCCTTTGCATACTTTTTTGGCATTTCCAGTTTTTGACCAAATAACACATGAAATGCTACTCCTGCTGGAATTCAAGTTTCATCTGGAACAGGCTTCACATACTCTGTGAAGCAGTATCTGAAAGAAAGGAGAACTTGCTTTACTGTTTGATGACCTACTTCTCTCCTATATTGGATTAACAGTAATTCAACTTCATGGAGACATCCCTGAGATGCTGTTCAGAAGGGCTAGCAGTTGATAACAAAATCACCTGAAATACAATCACAAAAAGTATGTGAAGGAGGTCATGAGTATAAAAAGCCCCACTGTGCATAATGAGTTGAGTGAATAAAGACGGGAGAGAAAAGGTATCCAACTCTAAGGTGTAATATTTTGCAGTTTCAGCCTGAAATGACCCACAGTGCAGTGAATTCTCATGATGGAGGACAACATTTATAGTTAGCTGGAAAGATGATCTCCATGGAAATCTTCATGCCAGCAAGCAAATACTTGCTAGAAAAGTAAGTGATGTACAAAGAAGGTAAGGCCAAGATGGATTAGAAGCTGCTCAGAGCAAGTGATCCATATGGAATGCAAATAGCCAAACATTCTCCAAAGAAGGGTGTGATAAGCAGATATGTCTCTGCATTATCTTCATTTTTGCCCTCCAGTTCAATACAGTTGGTATTAGACTCATTATCATCAATGAAATGGATTTATTTATAAAGACTTTTTTTCTTTATCACTCTGTGTCCCATCATTTCTTTATTGTAACTCTGGAATGGGTATTTACTGATTCTTCTGGTTGTTACGAAGCCAAATCAACTTAGAACCAGTTGACATCAAGTAATACTAATTTCTGACAGTTGCTCAAGTTCCAATCAAAATTTCTAATTACATCAAGTAATACTAATTTCTGACAGTTGCTCAAGTTCCAATCAAAATTTCTAATTTCTGATTTTCAGTGTCTCTATGCTCTCAGAACATGAAGGCACATGCTGCCACCAGTGTAGCTCGTAGATGAACACTACTTACTATGTTTCAGAACTCACACCTTAAGATTGGTTCTTCTATTAGCTCAGAACTCAAGGATTTTTATTATTATTATTTAGGCTTTATCTATTTCTTATTTTGCCCTTGCTACTACCTATTTGTGTTAAAGATCTTAATCTTTATACTTCTGACAGCTAGTGAGAATGACTAGCTGGCTGACAGGGTGAGTCAGTAACATGACTCTTTCACAGCAGATTACAAAATTACATGCTAAAAAACCCCAAAAATATATATTAGTCAAAGAATGCCTCCAGGTAGAATGAAATTATAGGTGACACTTCAGCATAAGGAGTTCACATTTCAAAGCCTTTTTACATTTTGGTAAAAATATTGGCAGGGGAGGAAGAAGACTGAAATCTTTACCAAAATGTAAAGTAAGAAATCAGTTTCTGCAATATCATAGCTTTCCAATATTATCAGGGTTCTTTTGTTTGCATGTCTAAGATTTTGGTGTGCTTTAGAGTTGTAATTTATAGCTTGTGACAGGAAAAAAAAACCTAACAGTGTTCCACAAGATCACACATTGTCATGGAGAGTAAGACTTCAAGGTTACATGAACAAATTTGTTCAGTTTTGCTTTCACTGTAAATATTCCACTTCTCTGACTAGTTTTTACCAAAGATATTATGACAACTTTCAAGGGAACTTCTGTATCTATGGGAAGTTTTGAGATCTTTGCAAAACTTGAATCCATTCTCAACCTCTTAAAACGAGTGGGCACAGTTCCAGATTTTTTAATTTACCTTTTTTTTTTTTTTTTTCCCCCCAAATGGCCCTGCACTTTCACTGTCATAGCTCACTACTCAAGTAACTGAATTAAAAATTCTGGTCTGTTAGAATTCCTCTGCCACCTTGCAGAAAACTGAGGCAATACAGAGGGTGAAGGATGATGGTGAGTCGGGACAAATGTATTTCAGTGCAAGGAGGAAAGAGACATACAGAACAGGTAATACAATCACCACTAATTTGGCAACCAAACACCACTTAGGGTTCTTCGCATAAGGAAATGCATTTCCTCACTTGTAAACCCGTGACACATCCAGGTTTTAGCAATAAATTAATTTAGTAATTTATGGAAGGTCAGACTTCACTTGTGCTAAATTAAACTGTCATGGAATTCACACAATGATAAAAAGCACAAGACCAATTTTCCTCAGTTTGTTAGTTCTATCCGCTTCCTCAATACTCAACATTTTAACATTGTTTTTGGATGCCACTGAGTGGAGCTCAAATACCAATTTAGAAAAAATTAAACCTAGGCTGTTGCCAGGATCCACTACATGTTGCTACGTCTACCTTGTTTGCAGCCTTCAGAACAAAGCGATACTTTTTATGGTATAAACATCCATCTAAAGGCAAATCAGAACTAAAATGAATCAAATGCTACTGCTTAACCTCATCTCTGGGCAAGACAAGGGACTGGCACACCAGTCCACTAGCAGAAGCTTGGGAAAGGAGACATCTCTCTCTGTACACTGTGGCTGTGATTACCCTATCCTTAACCTCACACAATGCTCTGCCTTCCTCACTTTCTCAAGATCCAAGTGCCCTCAAAGGTGCAAACTCTGCAGAGATCTCCAGAATCATTGATCTAGGGAGGATGATTCGTTCACACTGAAAGTTAGGACCAGCTACTCAGTAACCAAGAATACACACTGCTAGAAGTAACTGCAATGACATTCCTCTGTAAAAGGAAAACAGTGGGTGCAAAGTATTTCTAAAATTACATCTTTAACAATATCTCTAACCATACCTGGAACCAGCCAAAGAGGCCTCATTGTTTCTCTGCATAGTCAACCATATGCATGGCCCATCGTAAAGCTTTTCTCCACTTATGTGGCTGGTACTTAAAAAGTGCTGTCTGGAGAGACAGTAAAATATGCTCAAAATGCTGAAGGGAGTGGCAATACCTCAGGCAGCACAAAGACAACTGTACCTGAGTCAATGCCCAGAAGCCTGTCGGAGCTTACCATCCTACTGCAGTTGCTTGCACAGGCATTGAGCTTTAAGTTAAAGACTTGAGGGTTTGCAGCCCCCCTTTTTTCTTTTTTTCCCTTTTTTTTTTTTTCTTTTTTAATTTAATAGGATAACTGTGGTAATAAACTCTACAGAGTAAGGCCTGCAAAACCAGCAAAATAAGAAGAAAAGTCTCTCAGAGTAAATTTTGTTGTTCTTTAACGTAGATTGTGTCCTGAAATACATAATTTAATCTTGTATTGTACATTTCAAATCTCACAGCCACTACTGTATTAAGTAATATAACTCGTTTGTATTACTAATTTACTTTGAATTATACCATATACCTCCTTACCTTAGCTATGATACGGCACAGATGAGCACCTTCCTGGGTAAGGCTGAATAAACTACTAATCGCCGACTCAGTGATGTACATACTGTCCGACAATTCTATTTGTCTCAAGAGGTTCTGTGTGACATAAGATGATAAACATAATTTACTTCCAGTGTAACATGTTAGCATTATATTTAAAGGTAAAATAGAATAGAAAATCTAGTTCATTTAGTCTACATCATCTAAAGAAGGAAAAAATACATGGGCAGGAGTCAGACTGATGTAACACCTTTGTCATTGCACTTGGATAGATGTAACCAAGAATAGTGATATTTAAAAATAAATATGAATAGAGTAACAGAACAGGTATGTGTGAGAGAACATTTAATGAAGAACTCTTTGGCTATTTAGTAAGTTATTATTGGGTTTGGCCTGGGATCGAACAAAAATTTTCAGAAGGCAGCTAACTGTCCCAGTGTAGAAGCTGTATGACAAGGTGATACAAGATTTCCACCTTATTGATTATATTGAGTATTGCTATACCCTTTCTAACACTACTTTTAAGGCTCTGGGTTCATCACTATTCTCAGTCTACACAGAAAATGTCATTTATCAACAAAGGGAATTCTCATAGAGAAATATAGTTTACTTCTTCAATGTATGAAATACGTTAAATATTTTTATCTTTGTAAACAGTTATCTTGCTTTCGCAATGTGTGCGATTGCGCTTCACAGGGGAACACAGCTGTTGGAAGAATATGAAGTTTATTTCGTTTTACTCTTTCTGAAAGCATGTAGAATCATTAGAGAAAGAATTAATTATCTTTGCTAGAAGAAGGTAAGCATTTTTACATTTAATCCAACTGTGAAAAAAAGTGCAAGGAAATATTCCACATTTTACGCTGTTATTTATGCAAAATTCAATTATCTTCTCTTTAGGAGGCTGTGTTCTCCCACTTAGCATTAGTAAAATGTTCCGTAAAAGACATAACTTATCAGTTCACATTTTGATAGCAACCTATCCTGAATAATATCCTGATACACTGATTAGAAAAGCATCCTGAACTCACACAGACACTTACTCTGCTCCAGAGCAGCAAACGACCCACAGACAATGCAGCTGTATGGCAGAAGTGGGCGTGCAGCCGGACTGAATGGCCCAGAAAACTGATCTTAAAAATGTTTTTATTAATGACCTCTAAGTCTTCAGCCACACAAATACACGTGAGATGGTGCAGAGTAATTAATACTACTTCCTTAAGAAAAAAAGGGACTAGGATTTCAGGTGTGTAGGAAATCAAGTGTAAGACATGCACTGGTTAAAATGTGTGCTATAATAATATACTTGCTATATGTACATCTTCTAAAAAGTTTAACTTTTAATGAGAACCACTGAGAGCAGAATGGATTTTTTTCCAAGATTTCTAAAGAAAAGGAGTGTCTGCATGAAAGGAAGAAAAAATGTGTCCAAAGGTCTTATTAACAGGACATCATCCAGAAATCAGGTGCCTTGCATTGAAGGAGGCCTATCACAAAAAGTAACATACTGAGCCAAAAGATCACTGTGCTTGGGATTTTAGGTTATTGAAGAATTCGAGAATACAAACACCTAAATCTCTTTGACAAGTATTTGAGTTACTGTTCATATCTGCTGAAAATTGAGTGTTGTAATCCTTCTCTTAATGGCTGCTTTCCCTCAAAATTAAAAATTTTGAAAGATTTCTTCTTTTTTAAACTATAAACTAACCTGTGCCTCATGTGTTAAAACCAGCTCTATTAACTGGCCAAAATACTGAGCAACGGTAGTGAGTGTTTCATTAATACAAGATTTCATAGACTTCAGTATCTGTTCATCTTCGGTTTGTATGCACCTGAAAAGGAAAAGGAAGGGAAGGGATGAAGGCAAAAAAATGCAACAGGCAACTATAGTTTTCTCAGGCTGATTGTCACAGGTAAGCTCTGTGTTAATAATAGAGATACAATGAAAATTCAACTGTTCACATGAGGACACTGTATTTGTTCCATTAGCATCACACCAGACTTTACTCAAAGCTTTGTCTGCACATAGTAAGCATACCATCACAGGACAACAGTGGACATTAACGAATAATTCTGGGATCACAATTTACTGCACAGACTACAGATCAAATTTTGCTGCAGATCCTGTATTTATACCAGTTTAACTCTTATTTTCCACTTATAGTTACAGTCACTAGGATGCCAACATCTCAGCTGCACCTGTGTGTATCCATCCATCTTTCATGACCAAAGAAGTACTTTCAATAATTTTCTTTTCTTCACCTTCTTTGCTATAGTTTAATGATAGCATGATAAGGACCCAAAATGAGTGTGTGCCCAGATGAGTAAAGTTCATTTAAAATAAAACAGCATACTCAAAAGTAAAATTCAACCTTCTATGCAGAAAGATTACCTAGAACAGCTTTACAGAGTTAGTATAACTATCCTGTAACCAGTGATATTTGGCTATAACTGAAGAAGTGAGATAAAGAAGGAACATTTTTTACAATTCAAATGAAATAACTAATACTTCTTCACAGAAATACATTCATTTGAATTGTCAAAACATATTCCACCCAGGCAGGCCACTGTAATGTAAGATAGTTTGGTTGACCAGTATCTCCACCTACACAGTAGCTTCCCTTTTCAGCTTTACCTGTCTTTCACCCACCCATATTAACGTTTTATCCAACAGACAAGGAGGGAGAGGGCTGATCTGGGGCAGTCACTAGTAGAATCAAGCTCTCATTAAATCAGTGTGTCCCATAGTAGAATATAAAAGTAAAGTCTGAGCTGTGTGGGTCTGGCAAAAAGCAGTAGTGCTCAAGAAATGTTCTTTCCTGATAATTAGACGGTGTCTTTTTCCCTGATGATCCCCCAGGCAGAATTACTTATACAGTGTTTAAAGTAAACTGAAAAAGACTGATTAAACTGTGCTGGAGGAAAGCAGATAACTTATGTTAGGCAGGGGAAGTATCATGAGAAGAATTATAAAGAGATTCTTATTTTCCAGCCTCAGCGTTCTGGAGTGCACAGAGCTGAGTAAAGCTACAACTACACTTTAAGGGAATGTGTATTTACAAGAACGTGTTGTACAACGGTCTCACAACATAAGTTTTCACACCAGCTGAAATCTTGGCTCCACAGAACTTGAACGGAACTTCATCACTGATATTAGAACCAGACTTTCTCCCTTGATGTCAGCCCTGAAAAATCCACTTGCATGCAGCCTTGTGTCTCTGCCAGGCTCTGTGGAACAGCAGATCCCATCTTTCACTGGGATACAGTTTAGATAAAAGCAACTCGTATCACCCACCAGAGGCTATAACCTTCAGAAAGCCTTTCAGAGCTGTGGGAGCCTAGTTCATAGAAGGCTGTTAGTAGATTTGTACTTCTCATTAGAAATTCTACAACATAATAAAACAACAAAATTAACATTTCCACTAGAAAATTGGAATTACCTTTCTGTGATTGCTGTAAATTCTGAACACTTGTCTATTAAGAGTTTTTCAAACTGCAAAGGGAGAAAGAGATAGTGATTTTAAAGCAATATCCATACACACAATTCCTTTTAAAAAATAATGTTTGTTGGTGATAATTAGGTGAAAACCCTCCAGAAACATACTATTTCATACAAACACCCTTTTTCTACTTATCTGAATAAACCAAGTAGAGATGAAACTGAAGATAACAAAACCGTAGTATTTTCTACCTTGTGAATGCAAAGGAACTCACAGATGAGGCATCTAATTACTTTAGTTCAGTAGTCCTCAAAACCAAAACTTTTTTAAATGTAATTTGTGAACATTATTAACATTCAGATTCGGGCTTACGATAAAACAGGATCCAAAATGAATCATGAATTTTCCCATAGCTGAAAAGGGACTAGAAAATCTTAAACAAGGCACCAGCATCAGGATTTTTTTACAGATTGTTTAAAGTACGTTTTAATTATTACAATAAAAAATTTAAACAAGACAAACATGAAATCAAGTAAGGCATTCTACCTGGTGCATCTCTTCTGAAGAATTCCTGGTGAATGTGTTGTATTCATTTATCATTGAACGTACGTGGCAGTTGACTCTAACTGTCATGCTGTGGACTCTCTGCCATCTATTCTTCTCCAGCTTTTGAGCAATCTTGGTCAATTCCGTGCTTATGATCCAAGCTCTCTTTAAAAGCAGCTCTAAGTTATCGCACGTGCTATGTTGTGAGGAAAGGATAAGTTCATTTTGTTCATCCTTCTCACTGCTGATTGGCTTGGACTGGAGAATACACATACATTCACAGTCCGTCATCAACTTCAAATCTTCCATCCATCGCTGAACAGAGTCCACCTGAATTAAGTGCATGCTAAAAGGCAGCGAAAGAGAAGGAAGAATGAGGTAAAGCAGAACAACCTTAGAATAACCACCAGGAGTACAATACAGTTCAATCCACCTACCAGGTTGCAACTGCTTGACAAAAGGCAACTAACTCAAAAAGCAATCTGCTTAGAGTAACACATCAACACACTTTGCTTCCTATTCCAAAGACAGGTTTGTAGTTTCTAAATCACTTTTACACCACATACCCTTGCCATAAAATTATTTGGGAAAAATCGGTAGAGAGATAAGAAAACAGGAGAAGTTTAGATTACGCTTGAATTTTTTCTTGTACACTTGGAGTTTAATATGATGCAGGTGCAAAGTTATGGGTGTGTTTGGTTTGGTTTATGAGACTGTACTGTCAGTGTTTTCTAGACACTTTGCCTATTAAACACTTAACAGAAAAAATTTTACTTTGTAGCATCTCTCCAAAGCTTTTCCACGTACAGTGACACAACCAACAACACTGTCAGCAGTATCCATTTCTGCCATAGCATAACCCCTCACACCTCAGATGGATTCTACTTCCTGACCAGCCCTTTACCTTCCCCTTTATTTCCCACTGCTCTCTGTACAGTTTGCACATCTGACTTCCAAAGCACATTTTTGCACTACAGCAAATATACTGCGAACCAGTGAGGCTGAAGGAAACTCCCTGAGGAGTATACCCTGACACAAGGGCAGTGAGCCTGCATTTTGTGCCCATGCACCCTCCAGCTAGTAAAACGGGGTACCAAGACAGCAGCTGTTCTGAGCTCATCTTTGGGAGGGATCCCAAGTTCTCCAGAGCCTTGGGGTAGAGTTGCCTAGAAGTTTTTCTTATAGTGAGGTACCCAGATCCTAATTAAAAAAAACAAAACCCAAAAAAAACAAACCGCCTTGATCCTCACCCCAACCACACACACATTCAAGTCCAGGTTTTATTAGACATGACTAGTGTTACTGATGTTGTACCTAATATATAAAGGTCGGGTATAGGACACTACATCAGAGAGAGCAAGTTTGCATAACCGCATTCATCCTTACCTATATGGCTTCTGCTTTCATTTCATTTAGCTCAGGGAATTCCTTAGTAGCAGCACCTTGACCCCTTTGACTCCCCGGAAATTTGCTCCCTCTCCCTGAGCCTGCCTAGCCCACTGCCGCCCTCCTGCATTCTCTCAGACCTCTGCACAAAATGCAGGCTCCCAGCTTTGTATTTTAACTCTTACCAACCACACCTAAGGCTGGACCTCTTTCCCTTCGAAGGGGGGAACTCCCCAAGGAAAGAGCATCGCCTCTGCCAAGGGGTCTCATCTGACCCTTGCTTCCAATCCAAGGACAGAAAAGGCACTGTCCACCTCCAGGAATAACCCATCCAAAATTTTTTTTAAAATTTAACAGTAGACCCAGATTATTTCAGTTTACATTTCTCCTCCCCCGTCCTCACAAAATACCAGTTCCTCTGGAATATATATATATATAACCAAAAAAAACCCCAACATTTTTACCATCAATAGTAGATAGTTAGCATATATACAAATACATATCTATAAAAATCTAAGGGACAGTTACATAGAGCTAAGGGAAAGACAAGAGTTATTGTTAAAAAGCAAGCTGTAATGTATTTTCAAATTACTTAAGTTTTCCTTACCTTTATGCAAAAGCTTAAAAGACTCTCAGTGATAGTTACTGAAATTAACTATGGTTGCAATGGTAAAGACAGATTTTATCAGTATCTGTCCCCCACTAGGCCCATTATATCCCCGCTCAGTGCAACATCGTTCACTGGTAATAAAGCAAAGTAGGTGGCCAAGAGTTCAAAGAATCAGTGCAAGTCTCTGTGGCATGGTAGATTTTAATTTTTATATGTCTAAAACAGTTTCTGCAGAATCTATCAACACAAGCGCAACCAACAATGCAATATTATCACACAAAACACTTCCAAAAGGGGTACTTTATTCAGTAAGAATTTTAGATTTCTGATCTACAATGAATAAAATATTTTTTCTGACACTTTTCAGCAGCTGAAGACTCAGTCTTAATATTTGATAAATTTTCTTAACATGAATTACTTCAAAATTTTAGTTTCTCTTCATCTAGTGAAAGATGGATTGATAATAAAGTGTTCCAAAGTGAAGATGAAAGGTAAAGAAGAAATGAAATTAAGTGAAAGCAAGAGAGACTGGACTTAATTATTTTTTGCAAACTTTTATTGCTATCCTATAGCTAGTCTCATAGTGTAGTGAATTGTTGCCAACCTTCTATCACAGATACATGCTATACCATTTTATAAGGTGCTATATATATCTGTAAGGACAAAAGAAACCTTCTATTATAGCCCATACTTTTAATCCAAATACTGATTTATTTCAGGTCAGCATCACATCAGTGATGCTCTGTGCTGATGGATAAACCTTTAGTGTTAGAACAAAATCTACAATTACATTAGCCAGGCTAAAGATGACCAGGCAGAAAAACTTTTTAATTCTTGTACTTCCATTTATACACTGAGCACCAGCTAAGCTCAAGAAATCTCCTTCCAGACCACTGAGGTAATATTCCACAAATGACCAAAATTCATTAACATACATATGAAAAGGAGGCTCACTTCAAGCATAATTTTATATAAATCAACAGCAAACAAGATACAAAAGGTCAGTTTCATTGATCCAATCCCCCTTTTCACCATATACAATGAAACTACTTTTAATTTTAAACTTTACAGGCTACTGCTATGTAAGGTCTTTATTTTACTTGGCTTTGAATATTGCGTAATTGCATTTCATGATCGATTGTGGCTCGCTTTCTTCATGCTATGTGTAGTCTCCTTATTGCCTTTTTGGATCTGAAGCAAGGTTTCCTAATAAACAAAAAATAACAACTTTAGAAGGTTGAGACCATGATTTATAACAATGTGCATAGATTGCATGCAGTACAGGATGAACCCATTTGACACAGAGTAATGTATTTTTCATTTCTAAAGTTCACTGTGATAATTAAATCTGTTTAATAACTACAAATAAACTATTACATTATAAATTCATATGTAAAAAACCTAGAATAGAAGATTAGGTAAAAAAAAATAAAATAAAAAAAAAAAAATTCATATTTCCTTTAATCCCAAAAGCCAGTCTTCACTCTGAGGAGAAAAAGAGATGATAGAGTTGTGCAGATGTTCAAAATGTCTCCTTGTTTACCTCTGTTCCTACTGTCGGAAGTACAACTGTAGAATTTGGGATGTTCTATCATTTAAACTTAGTATTCCTTAACTCACAACAATGGCAAAAATAATAACATTCACTTCCTTTCAGACAAGAATCAGAGCAAACTCCCCCTTGCTCACTGTCATCTTTTCTGACACATCATTCTTTAAAATAGAGATATATCGTATCTCCTCAAGTGAAATACAGAAATGATCCACCTTCATCCACATTGCTCTGTATTTAGAGAAAATCTTCCTAAGCATTCAGCAGATGCCTTTGTAGACTAATTATTTCTTTATAAAAATAAGGAAAGCAAAAAGTGTGATCATTCCTAATTAGCTATTAGGAATCATAATCCAGACAGCATCTACTGAACTCCAAAAACAAGTTGAAAATTTCCATTTTGTCTCCCCATTACTGAAAGAAAAAAAAAATAATCTACGCCTACAAAATAAAAACAGCCATAATGGGTCAGACCAAAACAATCTGTCTAGACCATTATCCTGCTCCCAACATGGCCATTAGGAGATGCATAAGGAAAGATTATAAGAGGCACAGCAAAGCTGAGCAACCCCTCCTTCCTATCCTCGGGCAATTAGTGGTTTAGGAACTTCCTAAATCAGTTGTGTCTGAGCAGGATGTTTTATCAATTCATGAAACAAAAGCAGCCATTAATCCCTTTTTGAACTCAGTTAAACTTTTGGCCTTTACAACATCTAGTGACAGTGTCGCATCTTGTTTGATTATTTTTTGTCTGAAAAAGTGTTTCTTACTGTTTGCTTTAAACTTGCTGCCTGGCGATATTAACACAAGCTCTTTAGTTCCTGTATGCTAAGGGATACTGAAATGATAGTTCACATTCATGCTTTTTGTGTAATTCATTGGTTTATTTGCTCTACCCTTCTCTCAGTTATCTTGTTTCCAAGTGGAGAAACTGTCTAGCCAGTCTCTCACCATACAGAAATTATTCCACACCTCTGACAACCCACTTACTTTCCCCACTTTTTCAAAAAGCCTTTTCTAATTTTCTGAAGTCCTAAAATACGATGACAAGAACAGCACGCAATATCAAAGATTCAGGTAAATTATGGATTTATACATTTGAATTAACATATTCTGTACTATTCCTATTTTCCAAGAATTCCCAGAATTAAATTTTTCTTTCCCTTAAGTGTTTTCCAGAGAGCTCTTTCATTTTCACCTTCCGGAAAATCTACTTTTTTTGATATCAGAGTATTTTCCATGAGTGATAATACATAATTTAGAGTTTGTTATTGTATATGTATGATGAAAGAGACTATTCTTCAGTCCCTTTCTTCCTCCTCACATGTGCTACTTCATGTTCATCAGCATATAATTTCTCCTAGCATCTTACATTTCAGTAACACAGTATTGTGAGACTTTTTTGTGTTTGCAAATTATTTTAAATTAACCTGAACAGTTTTGCATCAGCAGGAAGCATTGCTGTCCTGCTATTATAACTGTTGTTCAGGTGGTTAAATACATTCAGCAAGATTGGTTTGAGGATAAGGGACCTTACTGGTGTGATTTGCCCCCATTCTGTTTAATTGAGCAACAGTAGTTCAGTAGCTGGCAGAGATCCTGATGTATATAGGCAATAGTTTCCCACCAGTTAAAATTTCTGAGTTTAGTATGTCATGGCATATTGACAAAAAAGCCATTTATCTAGACTCCATGCTATAAAAGCAGCATTTCATGTAAAAATAGCAGTAAAAATAATTCAGTGCAAAATAAAAATTCAAAAGAAAGTCTCCAGCATTTCTTCAAAGTCATTCTACTT